AAAACTGGGTAGGCATGAGAATTATTATTCTACAGAAGTGCCTACACACTGTGTATAAGCACAATGTGAACTGACAAAGAAAGTGAACCTGAACAATGACAGACCTCTAACATTTAAATTACAATAAAGAAAACTCAACATAGCTAAGCTGTGGGGTATCCGGATTTGATTATGCAAAGCTGATAGTGGCAAAACTTGTTGGCAATCCCTTGACATTTTATGATAATGCATCAATGACGTTTTTAATTGACCTGCTAACAGACAAACCTATGGTACGAAAAACATGGTAACCAGCATTCAAAACCAATTTCATCTACAACTTTCACTACTAAATAATTTTAAACTCTCCCAGCCGCTGGGCAATAACTAATCTTTAAATGTGATCGAACTATTGATACAAAATGTAACGTTTAATATGCAAGACAAAGAAGATTCCAAAAATTTACCTTTTGCATTCTGGAAAATGGGATGGGATGAATAGTTGTTATACATAGAATAAGTTCTATACATATATTTATCTGTCCAATGTTATAGTGAAAGCATCTCTCATGTACCCCGTTACAGATATCAAATACCAAAAACACATGCCAAACAAAAATGTCACAAGTCTACAGTAATCTTGATTTTAAAGCTGTATACTTACTGATTATCAACCATTTCCATTCCATCAGGAATATCATCTTTATCTAACACTTCAGCTTTGCCTAAGAAAAGAAAATGAACACTTATGTGTCACATAGAAGACAATGAGGTGGCTGTGTAACCCATGTAACACATGGAACTTTCATCTATACAAACTGGATAATAATGTAAACACTGCATTCATGTACAGAATAATACATATAGATGGGATCAAATAAAATATTTTAGTTGTATTGACAATCAATACACAAAAAGCAGACCTACCAGGTTTGTTCTTCTCTATGTCTGATACATGGTAGCGATCTTTCTGCCACGGCCTGCGAATTTAGAAATGTTGAATAAATCAAGAAATGAACAATGTTTGATAATGTCATGAGACAGATAAACAAGCACATGAGTAATGGGTGTGCATGAATTGGCAGTGAATTGTAGCACACAATAAGCAATTGGAAACATGTATTTACACTTAACCTGGGACATGTTTCAAACAATAGTTCCACTCAGATAAGTGATAAAAGCAGAAATAACATCTGCAACCCAAATTCATGGTCCTGAAACGTGATATGGGTCCAAGAATACAAAACAAATGACTGACAACAATTCCATGAGAACAATACAACTGACAATTATACCACTGTACAGACACATCAGTAAGTGAGTGACAAACACGCCTGATTAAAATATGATTGATCATATAGTTTCTTAAAATTGTTATTTTTTTCTGCATATTTGACTTGGTTTGAGTTGGTCATGTGATTAATATATAAATCATGTATCTCTTATTCATAAAGTTAGTTGGTACTTCGAAATCACGGAATATATAGATCATGACGTATGCAATTATATCAACCGGCCTTACAAACAAGTGAAACCTTGTAGTTAATATAAATTATTTTTGCATAATATTTCCATATTTAAACTTGCATGTTTTTATTGTTCTGACAAGTCAGATAAGCATTTTTTTTTGACATTTCATATATGTTTGGTAAAACTTACAAATTAAACAAGTTTATTACTGTTTTGGTGGGGCATACTCAATGACAGCTACATAGATGATGGTAACACATATTTGTAGTATACTGTTGTATACTGGTGATGATTTTCTGTCAATGAAGTTAGGACAGACAACACAATACAACATATTGATCATGTCACATTTCCCTGTTAAATTGCAAAAACTTTCATAAATTGTTATCAAACCTAATCTTTATGTTGCTCAACGAATTTATGCATGTTATTAACACAAACATAGTATGCCATGGATTAGTAAAAATGCATGTTCACAACTTTTCCGGATAATTAAAATATCCAGAACAGGGCAGCACGGTTATGCAAATTAGGTTAATAATCAACATATAAGCAAAAATGTTAACATTTTTCACCATTTACAAAATATTTTTTTTTTCCAAATTGGTGATTAATACATGTTTTACAATGCTTTTAATATATTACTCACTTGTCATGCCTGGAAGATCCAATA